GCTCTCGGACCTCACCTGGTGCCTGTGCGGTTGTTGTTCCCGTTGCTGTCACTGTGAGGAGGTTCTTGGTGTCGTAGACGTCACAGAGACCCCTCTCCCCTCCCTGCAGGAGAGTGTCCTTGTGCCCAGGCGGCCGACCTCTCCTCTGTCCCAGCAGGGGTCGTCGAGCCCAGCACCGTCACGTCCAGTACCGGGAGCGGGTGACAGACGGCTGTCCCTGCCCTGGACTGGAGGCCCGGGGAAGATGTGCAGCTCCCTGAGTCAACACAGATGAGCCCAGGAAAATGTCACTCGGGGGCTTGGGGACCTAGATGAGCTGATTCTCAGTTCACGTGGAGAAGTCACTGAGCAGGAATATCCGGGAAAACCCGTGGAAGTGTCACAAGAGGGACGAGCCCGACCAGCTGTGACAACACAGAGACAGCTCACTGTGATGCTGCTGAGACGGAGAAAAGCCTTTCCAAGTGGGACACGCGTCCCAGGAGCCACCACAACAAGTGACATGTCCAACCCCACGGAAGCCACGTGTCTCCATGGGGACATCCGTAATCAGATTCGGAGATAATCAGGAAACGGGGAAATATCTGCCGTTCTGATTTCCTGAGTCAGGGGGGTGGGGGTCGTTTCCACAAACTCGTTCTTTAAAGGACCAGAGAGACACGGGAAGTGTGTGGACGGTTCACAGGCAGAGGGAGTGAAGCGGCTCCTGATGGCGAAACGCGCCGTCGCCTCGCTGCCGAGAGATGCGCAGATGACACTGAGAAGCCCTCAGGCTGCACCTGTCACCCCAGCAGAGACCCCCAGTCACACCGTGGGGAAGGGGGGCATCAGGCCATCTCAAGAGTTCTGGACGGGCCGTGACGGGGATGACGGACACTCTCCATTAAAGATAGAATGTGCACAGAATGGACCAGACGAGCATCCCGCACGTGTGGGGACGACCTGCATTCAAGTCACTCCTTTGGGCGTGCTGTGTAATTGCCAGTGAGAAACAGCCCCAGTGCCACCACAGAGGGTTCAGAGAGAAATCACGGGGATCCATAAGGGGCGTATTATACACCCAATAGAGAGACGAGACACCTCTGCAGATAATAGTGAAGATTTCTAAACCATGGTGATGTGAAAAACCACGCTGTGAACCTAGGAGGGGGAGGGGTGATGTGTGAGCACAGTCCCCTGCAGGGCAGGAGTCGGGGGCCTGGGTGATGTGTGAGCACAGTCCCCTGCAGGGC